CCTGTTGACGCCTCAACCCTTAACATATACTCTTAAGATGAATTGAAATTGATAGAGAGAGGTGTTATATTAACCCGCATGTTCCCTTTCCCCTTATAACATAATCATCTCTATAATCAACGACAACCTTCTTACATTTTTGTTCCTATATCCTGATATACTAATTCTTTAATATAATCAGTCCATATCTGATCCCAGCTACGTAATCTGGCCTTTTCCTTCGTTGTTTTCTATTTCTACAGCAATTATTTTTTACCGAGCTATTCAATTATTTATTGGACATTATATACTCCGAGCCATATTTCTATGCTCTTTTTCCAAGTCGGAAAATGGCCTAGCCATTCCCAGTCCCAGCATGTATGACTGCATGGTTAGCCTTGCATTCATGCCTTTACTATCATTTTTTCCTATTTACTCTTGATTTGAGAAGACAATTATATAACCAACTTTTTACTCTTTGATTTATTTTCAGTTTATTCCTATTGATTTCCTTGCAGTGTATTATTACTTTGCCGCCGTATTCAAATTGAGCAAAGCTCAGTATTGAGTGGTCACAAACGGTCGTTCATAATACAAAACCCTATGTAGACATCCAAACTCCTTGTCAAACAACTCTTTAACCTCTGCACTCAATGCCATTGATGAACTTAGTATTTTAGGGGTGATGACAATGATAAATACAAAGAACGATGTCATTTCGAACGATTGACGGCAGTTTCTTTTTTACCACGCCATTTAAAAAATAAGTTAGAAACATTTTACGTGTCATGTTTATACACCATTATTGTCTTCTTTAGAGGGTTATGTGTTATAATCAACCGCTTGTGAGTTCGCAAAGTGACCTTGAATGATGCGAAAGAGCATCACACACTATGAACATGACGGACAAAGAAAGAGGAAAAAATATGCAGTTCCTCATTCTACCCTTAACAATTGCTGTAGAACAGGTGAATATGCATGTGACACCTTTTCTACACATTTTTACATAATAGCAGTGAAAGGATGTTTCTTTGTCTACCACAGCAATTGTTGAGGGTAGAATGAGGAACTGCATATTTTGCCCTCTTTCTTTGTCCGTCATGTTCATAGTGACAGAGACACAGAAGCATGATCATTCAATACTGTGCTTGACTCAATCTGGTAATTCTCTCCACCAAGCAGCTTATACCAATATTGAGATAGATTCTTTTACAAATATAATGTAGATATTTCTTTTCGTAATAAATGTTCCAGTTTTTATTGTATAACCAAAGGCCTCTCAATATGTACATATGGTTTTTCATATTGATATATTATATTTATATACATATATATATATATATACCTGCAATTTTCCTGTAAACTATTTGTTCTGTATATAGTATGCGTACCGTGCGGAACAGCGGCTCAACGATAGATGTCGTCGTTCCCATTTCGTCAATTGTGCAGCGTGTTGAGGCGTACTAACCTTAATAATGTATGTATTATAAATGACAGAGTTCAACACTCAGTATTAACTGAAATACATGTATTTAAAGCAATTTTTCACGGAAATCTATTGTTGTGATTTTTAACAATAATTGTCTTAAAAGATTTGTAAAACAGGAAACTAAAAGATTTTTTCCGACATGTCGACATCATGTACATATGCGTACTATCTATGTACCTAGAATGGTTGGGTGAACTCCTTGGTTAATATTAATGGAGTGCTACATTCAATCAGGGACGTGATAGAGAAGGACAGGAATCAAGCCGCTCTCCTTTGACCCCATGCTCCAAGCCGCCGAAAAGTTATGCGCTAATCTGCAACTGTTGACCAGGTGGTGAGATAAAAGAGCGCATGAAATTTCAGGATTTAGAATTCCTACATCAGAAAATGGTATCACTGCAACTGTTCGCTGTCCCTTTCAATGATTTCTCATCCATTGTTGAATGTGCAAAGAGTAGAACAAGCGAACACAAACTTGTGTACTTTCATCCTTTTTTAAACTTGAAAAATTCAAAAAACACGCATTAGCAAACTTAATGTTATTGAAGATTGTAAATCATGGATCAAATAACGGGACATTAAAGCATGCACAAATTAGCGCATCATCCTAAAATATTGAGTTTTTGACAGGATGTAATTTTTCTTTTACCAACTCTGGCACACAAATTGAAGGAAGGACGGAGTTCTAAATTTGAAAATTTGTTTGATGCACTATTCCCAATAAAATCCCCATATAAAGTTTTTGATTTACACTGAAATGTTGCCGGTAATTTAATATTTTGTAATAAATGTAAAACTGGTGCCTGGCTTCCGAAATTCCCCGCAGTGGAAGCGCGGTTCGGAGCATGGAACTTCAAAGCCAAGTGGAATGTTACACATCCCATTGTTACGCTTTAGAACTCAAGAATGCGTTTGAATAAATTACAAGAGTTTCGCCTCCTTTTCTTTCACCTCCCTGATTCAATGCAGTACAAATTATTAAAGGGTAAAACCAGTGGTTGAAAATCATCTTCCGTGGATCAACAGTGTATCAAGACTTCAATATTTTATTTAATGATATCGATGTTATAGTTACAATGTTGTGGAGGTAAAGTTATCACGGTTCGGCTTTTGTCCACTAGACTATTTAAAAGCAAGAAAGGGGGGGGGGGTGTTATGATAGAAAATTCTCTTACATCCTTCATTCTCTCTCTCTCTCTCTCTCTTTCTCTTTCTCTCCTCCCCTAATGTTTCTCTTTGTGCTCGTGTGTATGTTCGAAACGTCTGGCTAAAAAGACTAGTTTTGACTTAAGGCGCCTTGCAATTTGACGTAAAGCGTGGGTGTTAAAACACATAGCCCCTGGGCTGCACTAGCTGGCCTTTTGCTATGTACGTAATTATCGACATTCGTTTTTTGTAGAGACTAATTCTATCCTCCAGACACTTGCTAGATTAAATACAAGTAATTGTTCTAGAGACCACATACATGCTACGTCGATCCCTTAGGACCACGGGTGCATTTTCGCGGCAGTGTCTGCCTTATTCGCACGGTACCACGGATAGATTTTCATGTAGTGTATAGCGTGATAAACGATACATTCGTGACGTAAACACATAGAGGTAAGGAAACCACATGGATTGATTTATGTTACGAGACAGAGCAATAGAGAGAACATTTAAATCTGTGATTATTTAATGTATTAAGTAAGTGTTACTAAGTGTTCTACTACTACTATTACTCTACTGCTGTTGAAACTTACTATTAATATTGGGACCACGACTAGTATTTCTGCGTCTACTACTACCTCTTCTGCTACTAATACTACAAGTCATCTTTAATGTTCAACACGTCGTGCTATAAATCTAAACATTCTTCTTACTTTTATTCATATAGTTTGAAGTTATCAGAACCAATGAACATTCTTAATACTTGCGGATCATTATGCTCAAGATGTGTTGGACTACCACTTCTGCAAGAACTTCTTCTGATGTTACATATTTGCTTGATTCTACCATATGTGTTACACAGCTCAGTTTAACACATAAGCGATAACATAAAACAAATTAAACCTACGTTAATTGAATGGTAATTCATATGCAGTAATGATCCATGAGTTTTCTATAATAGCTGCAATACGCGTTCCATTGTTCATTGCGCGTTCCATACAATCATTTTAGCGCGTGTATCCGAAGCGCATAGGTCCCTCGCGCGGAGCGAAATTTTGTAGAAAAAATGTTCTCGCGAACTGTTTTATTTTGTCACTTAGTCATGTGTAGTCTCTGTCTGCCGCTCAGGCTGTACCCAATTATTTACACGTAAGAACGTAGCACATACTGCACACTTAGGTACTAGAAATATGACTAGTAATATGACAATAGTTGCAATGCTTTGCATGTAAATGCATGTGACTGATTGTTACGGCTGCTTCGTTTAATGTTGTATGTTTGTACGTAGTTTTAGAAAGGTATACGTCACGTCACATCAGTGACGTCACATAACCTCCTTATATTTGTACACAAAATGGGAATGGTCACGAAGACATTCTTTTCGAAACAGAAACGTCCTGAAATTTTGTAGATAGAAAACGTTTGGAGAATATAAAGTACACATCAGAAATTACTCCATGTAATACAGCCAATGACCTAGAGGTCATGTATTTATGCATAAATTAAGATTGCGCCCATGCAAATTATGATGACATCACTGCCTATACGCGCTCCGTTGTGCGTGCACATCATCATTTGCATGGGCGCAATCTTAATTTACGCATAAATACCACTGACCTCGGGTCATTGGCTTTGTTTCAAAGCCAATGACCCAAGGTCAACTGTCTGCGCATGCGCACTGATACAACCGTAAACTGGTGTATTGTAAAACTTGCTATAATTACCTATGTTTCTAAGCAAGGTTATTCTATGCGCATGAGTTCGTTCTGGAGCATGAATTGCAAGATTAATAGCTACGGTTCGAAATATGCCATGTCATTTGTGTACGTGTTTGTATGTTTGCAATGTTGCCGATCGAATTGCTTCGCCGAGCACATCCTTGTTTGCAATTGTCAAATGAAATGTCGTAGAAGTTGAAACTTTCTATTAAACCGTATATGTACAAATTTGTGCAGTGGATGTATGTGTTTGTGTGTCGGGGAATGTAGTGTAGTTTTATGTTTGATCACCATGGGTGGGGGGGGGGGGCATTGAAGGGAATGAACGGAACTCCGAAAACGATTTCATCCACAAATGCCAATAATCATTTTTTTTAAAGTATTTATTTCTTTTGAGATTTACGTTTTAAAAGTAACATTCACTATTTTGAGTCGTAAAATATTGCCTTCTAAACACATGGTATATGCCAAAGAAATATGTAGCCTTTCTGTCCTATCGTTTCAAATTCACATTGTAAGATCAAAATGTCACACAACTTCCTTTAGACTATATTAATAAACATTGATTTAAATACAGTTTAATGTACCTTATTGTCATGCATTTACCCTGTAAACAATCTTGTTATTTGTAAATAATTATTGTATGTCCCTTGTATGTTTTCTTCCAGACTCAAAACGTTATGTTCGAGATGATATCAGATATGCATACGGGGAAAGCCGAGTTGGAGGACAGGGTGAGCCGCCTGGAGGGAAGACTAGACCAGCTACAGACCTCACTCGACGGTTTGCCTCAGGTCATGTCAGCTCTGATGCAAAACGCTCAACTTCTACAGCAGCAGACTCAGCTTCTCTCCTCTCAGCAATATCTAGCGCCCCCTTCGCCCAACCTTATCCAGCCGACCATGCAGGATAACCGCTTCAATCAGCTCCATTGTCTGGACAATGACCTCACAACCAATAACCACGCCGCAATGAACTCGCGCGGTGCGGGGTTGCGGTTGCGACCGCTTCACTCGTTACCCATGCAGTTCCCGTCGAACGAAGAACCGCGACGCGACGATACGGTCAGGGCGTTCAGCATCCCTGACGTCAGTATATCAAAAGAAGGGAACCGAGGACCTTGATAGTGATGAACACAAACTCGTGAGTGCAAGTGAAATAGATGGAGAAAGAGAGTGTGTACTGTGTGTGTGAGAGTGTGCGAGGAAGGGATAAACATGAAGCTTCGCTTCCTCATATCTAAAGTGACTTCCTGAGATACTCCAAAAAGGGCAAAGATGTATGCTCCGGTCTCAAGATACCTCTGACGTTCACGTATTAAACTAAAGACGAATCAATGCAAAGACCGTTCCCCATAAGCTTGTGGAACCGCGGTTGCTGGAGTTGACGGAGAGACAAGAGTAACAGAATATTAGCACTAGTTGTGTTGAGCCTTATGTTTTAGCCAAACCTCGCAGACACTGCTCAAGTGTTAAAGGTCGTTCCAAGTTTAACGCTGGCTCATCAAGCCTAGATCTAATCCCTCAGGTCACGCTTTCGTTGAGATCGATGAGAGCTCAACTCTCACAACGCTACCTGTCCCTGTAGATGGAAGGACATGAACAAGGATACACTAGGAGGAGGGTACAGGTGCGGAATACTGGCATGTATGATGATGCATTCCAAAGACAGTCGCTAAAGCCAGTCACTGTCGCACCTAGTAGAGGGGGTTCGATGGTGAAACATCGACGAATAAGATGGCCGCCATCGATGCAAGATGTGCAGCCGTGCATGGAGGTCTAACTATGACTACTAGTACCTGACATAGAGGGCGATATTCTCTGCACGAGATCACACCATAAGTCCTCTTCTAACTGAAATTGCAGGATTCAATTTTTATATGTATGATGTAGCCTTTCCAAATGCAAAAGTGTTTCACTAATTGTAAAAGTCTAATCTATTAATCCGCGATTTAGTTCTTTTTATTTTCAATATTGCTATAAATATTCAAATGATGGTACATTCACTTTGTGGTGATAATGACAAAGTTTTGGCGTCATAAAAACTGCCAACCTATAAAAACAAAAATATAGTAAATGTATGGGGTTCGTAGATATATAATTATCATAGCCACATACTCAAATTATAACTATCTTGGTATCTATTCTCGGGGTCAATACGATAGTAGATTCGATTGCCAATGATATACGTGTCTGTAACCGCACTCAAATTCCTATGCATTATTGCTCGTGTAGCGTTCCATAGTCAAATCACGAAAGGCTGAGAGTCGTGAATATGTATTGGAAATAAAATGTTATAACAACTTATCAATATTCACTTATTTAGTGCTGCTTTATACTTTTCCTCGGAATATACGGGTCGATAGAACTATAAGGTGTGTTTCGTACTCATCAACTATACATAGCTTCAGTAATGTGTAGATATGTACTATGATTCATAGTCACATTTTGCTGCTATTGTCTCTTTATAACAATAGCAAGAGATCTATAGGTTATCGTGCTTTATAATCAAATTTCAATAAGTTCTTCGGGTAAGGGAATTAGAGTGCAGTGATATTTTCCATCTATTCTATTTCTCTTCATAGTCCACTATGACAGGAAACGGTTTGTTATAGACCTACTTTACTGGGTTTTCGGTGAGTTAATCCATTATTTTTTTGCAAATCACCCTTCCATTTTTGTTACTAGAATGGTATAACGAAGAGTCGATAGAAAAAGTGGAATAATTTAAAGGAAAATTTACATAACTATGATTCAGGGGATCTGTTAGCAATCGAGCATTTTCTTTAAAAATCCAAAATGATAGTTAATAGCATAGCTTGGGGAAAAAAAACCTTGCAATGTGTTAATTGTACTTAATGCATTTTTCATTATAGTCAAAAACTGTTCTTAAAAATGAATCATATATAGCAAAGTTACATGATTTGACAAAAATGAAACTAAGATATTTCGACTGAAATTAGTTACAAAATTTAAACCGTCCACTCCGACAGGACATCTGCACGTTACCACCACGTGGTATTTTAATTTTATAGTCACTCTTATAAAGATTTTGTTTTAATCACCTCTTTTCGCATGGGTCATTTGGAAGATTTTTCCTTTTACATTTTCTCTCGTACTTACAAACGTGTAATTGTACTGATTGTTATTTCTTAATGTGATTTATGTTTTGTAGACAGGGATTTTGATTCCTTGCTACATTTGTTACAACGGCAGGGCGAAAAATAAGGGCTCTCAAAAGGTGCAACTACGCGCACCATCGTATACTATTTGTACACGACTCATAATTGACAACAGTTGCGCATTTGACAACAGTACCTACTTTCTATTGAATTCTTTGTTTAAGGGTGCAACAAAAAGCCCCTCCCACACGAAAAAATAAGCACGGGAGTCGTTACATGACCGTATACGTGTCAAATACTTTTACCTCATGTATATGCCAGTTTAGTTTGTAAGAGGGGTTTCATTGCGTTATTGTTTAATAGGCTTATTGGGCCTATAATTTCATGGGAATAAATCTTCTTCTTTTTTTCTCCATTGTTAACCCTGCACAAGTATACATTATGTGCACTGTGTTCTGCAACATTGTGTGAATGCTATGGGAAGCTGGTGTAAACAGCACGCAAATGTGATTCCTTGATGTTACTTTCAACTCTTACCAACCAAAAAGATTTCATCCATTTATTTTGTGATCAGTAATAGACCATGGAATTTGGGCTACTAGAGATAGAGAGAAAAAGAAAAGCAATTATCTGAACCAACAAAAAAAGAACGAGTAAGAAATATAAAAATGATATGAGTATAGTCTTACAGGAAATACATTCTGATACAGGCAAGACGAGAGTCTGTTATTCAACATCTGCTTAAAATCCGCCCAGTGTCAACACCATATGGGCGTGAACCGAAGACTGATAACAGAATCTGTTTACCACTTTCAATCATTGAGCGAGGGTACTTTCATTAGTTTTTGGCTTCTCTTTGATTTTTCTACGTAACAATATTTTAGTTTTAAATTTCAAAGTAGGCATAACCAACAAAAAGGGATATAAAAGAAGTCTTGCCTACGTATATGCGTGTTGTACCGTGAAACAAACATTTACTATTTTGCAACTCTAATTTCAACACCGCCTCGTGCCTTAACTGTTTATATTATATATACATATATATATTTGCGATATAGAAAATGCGTGTGTGCGTGAGAGGGAGGGTGTGTGAGCGCGACGCGAGAAAGGATGTAGTTTCGAATGGGACGCAGGGGTTTCGGATGATTTCGTTGGAAATGAGTAGGCCCAGCGAATACGGATGGTGACCAGGAGGGTAAATAAAGGCACCACATGTATCAGTGGCGGATCCAGGGATCCACAGTGGGCACGTACCCCTCCCCCTACCAAATGTTAGAATACTCTGATACACATGTCTAATTATCCCCCCCCCCCCCCCCCCCGTCCCCTCATCCCAGTTTAAATTCATTTTTATTTTCTGAAACTATTTTCCCAAATGATTTCTCTATGTTGGGAGTGGCTAAGATAGTCTAGACTCATTATTGTGCCCCTCCCCCACCCCCAAATCTGAAATATGTCCTGGCTCCGCCACTGTGTATGTGAATCGTGCTGTAATTATCGGTCATAAAGAGAGTGTCTTTCTAATATGCATGAATCATGGATTGATTTTCAATGTCCCAATTTCTATGATAGCTTTATCAACTATTTTTTAAATCAAACAAATTGTGTAATTGGCAGTGAGGTTATTATGAGGGGTATTTCTGTTCTTTTTAATCCCATTTTTAACAAATTATCAGAATGAGGGGATTGCATCATATTTCCCTAAAAGTAGTCTAATTTTCAGATGCATTTATCATTATGTCATAACAATTCTTTGCTCGTAATGTGTTGATTGAATATGATTTTACCTTATCTGTATTATTTTAAGATAAAGTTTTTATTGGTAGCGACGAGCAAATGAGTTAACTTTTTTAAAGTTCATAGAGAACTATAAATTCTAAAATTGATAATGGAATATATCTATGTACTTAATGGAACTGAATCCGAAGGGCAGATGTGTGATGGATGTATGTTGAATTAATATTGTACAAGAAAAGTGTATTTTTAAGGGACCCTTTTATTTTTAGAACAAGAGAAGAGTATATTTAGTTTTAGGGTTTTTAATTTTGAAAGACATGAAAGAACACATTGTCATATACCGAGTGTTACTGCACAGGATTGGAAATACGCCGTGTTCACGATATGACACACTGTGTTCATATTTTGACATGCTACGTTGACACTTTGAATTACTGTGGTCCAAAAATGTACACACCACATTATAACCGATGTGTGTATGCTACTCTTCCACAGTGCTTACAGTGTGTTCATACTGTCCCCAACTGTGTGAAACATTAACACCCACAGTTGCCATATGTGAACGTAGTGTGTTTGAACTAGACGTATGAACACGGTGTGCAATCAATATCAAACTGTGATGATTGGTTCACAATGTGAACACACTGTGTCCAAACTGTGAAGATAGTGTGTTCACAGTATTTTAAAAGATACTGTGACAGTGTGTTCTTTATCGCAGGGTTGATCATAACGTAGCCGGAGTTAAAGTATGGGATTACGCTTGTGTGTGAGATTGAGAGACGCAGAGAAAAGATATGTAGTGTGTGGTGGGGAAGGGTAGGGGTCATTACTTGTTCATGTCATGTACACTGTTCCAGAACAAACACATTGTCCATTCTCTCTCACGTATAAGCAAGAAGTTGCTGGTAACTTCTTGGTATAAGCACGCCACAATCCACACCTGTCTTTATGTAACAGTGCAAGCAACCAATAATTTAGATATTACGGCCACCGTCACTGCCACAGTGCACTGCACTTCTCCAATCCTCCTTTTCATCAAAAAATAATCCATAATCTTGCACAAAAAGTCACCTTTTAACAGTTTAATTTCGACAAGAATTGTATGGTTGATCATGCTGAAATTTGGGGTTTATTAGATAACTAGATCCACGAGTGCACGGCTTAACTCCCTTGATCACATGTCAACATTATTGTATGCGTACCTGTATTGTATGTGGATTTTATAGGTCAGAGGCCCTCTCTATAAAACTAGCCCTACAATTGATCAGGATTTCCTTCTTCAAATGTGACCACAATTCATCGAGATTAGACAAAAATGAATAAGATTTTGTTTTCGTAAAGAAAGGTTACTCATTATTTACAATATCTATCTCAAACGGGTTGAAAAATTAATGGGAGTCATGAATTTATATTTTTGATAATTTCATTATACGATAAAATTTCATCTCAATGAAAAATTAATTTGTAATTTGATTAGAATAGGACAGTTGATTTTGATTTTCTTTAACAATTAAAAAAAAAAGCTATACATGGAAACACGAGTGACAGATTTGGTGTAATTCATCTACATAACATTTGGAAGCCTCTGATATATAACTACATGTTCTTGGGAATGTGTTTGTTCTGTTTGCATGTTAACGTGTTACGTAATAACACCACAATTGGTTTCGTTCTTTGTGTTCATAAATGTTCGTATGATAATGTTATAACAGCACTATAATAGCGTTTTGATATTGCACGTATACTCAAAGTGTCTTTATTACTGCCAAGGGTTATATATGTCGAAAATATCATTGATATAACTATCATATTGAGCAGAATGGTATATTGTTATGGTTATTATTGTTATTATTATTGCGCAATTATTACAATCATGTATGACTTGTATAGACTCTTGTAATTGAAATATTATGTGGGAAATCGTTTTGTACATATCTTGAAAGCGACAGAGATCTATGTAAATGAGGACGTTTCACGAAAGTGCAAGGGTATCTCTTTTTAAATACAGTACTTTTCATATAATGAACAAAAAAGGAATTATAACAAAAATCAACAAATGTTTTTCTGTGTGTTTATTTATTACGAAGAGATAATTTCTATACGATTTGTCTATCCCTAATTTCGTCGATAACACGTGATGTTAGATGTGAATGCCTGGAAGTGAAAGAATTTTGAAAGAAATGATGCATGAGTTTGTCTATAGATAATGGACGATGAAAATGATCCTGATTATGTGACTTATGGGAAGTTCCAGATTTTGGATGTCGTGTGCAAGATGTAAAGAGAGCATAAGCGCCTTCCTGACTTTAATAGGGGGCGCCTGTCCAAACAAAATCACTGAAGAGTCATCACAATTTCGAGGTCCGTTTCTTTACACCAGAAAGTTAGTTGGCCATTTCTGCTTCCAATGTCCATTAGAGCAGCACTTTAACTTCTTGGTCGTATGGGAATTTTCAGTGGTCATGAAAAGGGCCCAAATGTAAACAAATCCACTATTTTAAAATAAAAATAGCGGGCCTTCATATTATGGTTTACCCAGGCATTACTAGGTACCCATTTAGTACAACTTAATCGAGAGGGATAGAATGTGGGCATTGCATATGTGCTGCTACGTATGATTCGTATGAAGTAATATTTTGTATTAGCTTGGGTATTATACTAATAAGCAAATTCATGATTGAGCTAAATTATTAGCCACGCCCCATGTGGCTCCCACTTTCGGGAGTTGCGGTACTAATCTATAAATTATGATGTGGTCTTTAATCCCAAACGATTAATAATGATCAAGTCTCATAATATTTTTGACTTATTTACACAGGGTGGGTCGCCATGTACAGTATTATAAACACTGTTTATTCCAGCGGGCCTAAATATCACGATTTACCCAATATTACTACAAACCCATGTAATACAACTGAATCGAGAGGGATAAATATGGGCAAAATACCTTTTATAAGGATGTTAGCACCGATCAAGGATCGAACCCAAATCGAGTATGTCATAAAAGAGGGAAGGGAAAACCTAAACCAATAACGTACTATTCCCTCGTTAGTGCTCCCGAAACGTTAAGAACCACTTAAAAGTTGTTATGTTAAAGAAAATCAAGTGAGAGAAAGAATTTTCAATTGATAAGGAAACATTTAGATGAACAGGTCATGTTTTCACAAGAAATTGAATTGGTTATCACGAAAAAAAAAGAAGAATACATTAACTCGTATTTAAATACAATCTAAATGTTAAAGATGGTTCAATATTTTATTCCGTCACTTATAATTATATACCCAGAATATATTGTAGGGGCGGATATGGCACATACCCCCTCCCCGTCCCTGGTTATTATTTTCATGCACGAATGTAATGCAACATCAGGGTTTACAAAGGTCAACGACCAATAGCACTCTTTCAACCCGTTATTTATTTATATTAAAGTTAAAACACAGTTTCTATCTGGGAGTAGATTAATATCTGGGCATCTATCACAACGGGATAACACAAGGACGTAGAGGGCGATACTGCGCATTCAAAGGTTATTCATACTGTTCTTTGAAACGAATCAAAATCAGATTAAACGAATGGAGTATCAATACCGAGCTGAATCGTCTTCAATTTGATATTTATTAGAAATACTCCAAGTACAAGAAAACAACGAATGTTTATCTTTCTTATTCAGCGCGTTATACAACATGTGCCATTTTCTATCCCCTCTCTTTCTATTTTGATGATCCCGATATGTCAGATGACAAAAAACTTAAGCAAGTCGACAATATTACAAAGCATACAAGGTGACAAGATTTATTTCAATTCAATTATATCTCACACAAATAGCGCAAATAAGTGGATCCGTCTGCTGCAATAGAGGAGGTATGTATAGGGCAAATTCATTAAATCGAACTAAAGTATTTACATGCTACACAGTTAATTATGAAATTATCGGGGCAACTACCCCTAACCCCCTCCCCACAATCCCCCTTTTTTGTTCTCTTCTTATTTTATCAATATCTCCCGCCTACTCTCATCTTCCTCTCCTGTCTTCCTCCTTTCTTTCTTCTCCTTCTCCTCCTATACTCATCGACCGCCTCTTGGCTCATTTTCTCGCCTTTTCTAGGGCCCTCCTCTTTACCTCCCCCGTCGTTCTTCTTGCCTCCGTTCTCCCGCTCTTCTTCTCCTCAACCTTCTTTCCTTCTATTCCTCTTTCTCATTTTCCATTGCTAGTTCTCTCTCTCACTTCCATGATTCTTTTCTCGTTGTCATCATTCTTCTCCAACATCTCCTCTTTTGCTTCATTTTCATCTTCTTTACACTGTTAGAACAAGTATTACAATTTTTAATCAAGTTGGTTAAAATTTTAATCAACCACGGATTACCAGGTGAATCACACAATCGTTGGTTAAACTTTAACCAACAGCCTGTTGATTAAAATTTAATCTGTGGTTGATTAAAAATTTTAATCAATTATTGGTTAAAAAAAATTGCTCAATGTTGGTTAAAATGGTGTTGATTAAACTTTAACCATTTGTTGATTAAAAATTTAATCTTTTGTTGGTTATTTATGCTTTGTTGGGGGCTGATTCACATGATGTTGGTTAAACTTACATGGGTCGTTGGTTAAAATTGTAACCATTGTAGGTTAATTTTTTTTTTATTCACATGATGTTGGTTAAACTTTAGTGGGTTGTTGGTTACAGTTATAACCAATGTTGGTTAAACTTACGGGGGTTTGCAGGTCTTATCCTCGTGTTTGCAGGTAAGAAATTGTTTAATATGATTATCATCAATGCTAAGATTGTAAGGAAGAAGTGAAATAAGGTTCTTGCTCAAATCCGGGCTCAAATTAAAAACGCTTTGTGTCCCGGCCCGTAGGTTGTAGCTCAGCCAGTAAGTGTAACGGATGACCTACCCAAATTGCATGCATAAAGACGTTTCACATTATGATGACATCTTATTTTATATTTAATTGTTTTAAGCAATTAGATACAATTAGATTTTAAAAAATAAGATTATTATTCATGCATGCAATTTGGGTAGGTGATCCGTAATAGGCCTACACTTCTCCTTCTGTAATGGGTCTGCCTCCTTCACGGTTGAAGATTCTTGCAGACTGATGAGTGTGTGTGTGCTTTATACGAGAGAGCCAGGTGCACGGTGCAAGTAAAATGTTACTTATTGGTTGAGCTACGTACAGCCTACGGGACACAAATCGTTTTTGATTTGAGCAAGAACCTTATTTCACTTCTTCCTTACAATCTTAGAATCGATGATGACAATATTAAAATAATTTCTTACCTGAAAACACGGAGATAAGACCGTCCAAACCCCCATTTCTCAGGTCCTCGCGACAACTTCCATTGTTAATTCTGTCGCACGCGTAAACTTCATGTACTTTGCATGTACTTTGTATGTCGAGCGATCGCTAGCTACGCGCTTCGATATCGTTCCGTTGGGTCACGTGACCAGTACTTTAATCAACATTGATTAAACTTTAACCGGAAGGGGACTATCATTACTGTCGGAATTTTGTTTTTAATCCATGCTGGGTTACATTTTTTGCCAACGACTTAGACTTAACCAACATAGGTTAAAAGGAATAATTTTGATCAACACTGTTTTTAACCAACGCAAGATTAAAAGTAAATTTTAATCAACACTACATTTTTACCCATGGTTGAGCGTTTTTTAATCAACAATTTTTTAACCCGCAGTTTTTTAATACTTGTTTTTAACAGTGTATCCTTCTCCTTCTGCTCCTCCTCATGTTTCTCCCCTCCTCCCCTCCGCTTTACCCCCTTATCTATTCATGCTAACTCCTTGTGGTTTCCATGACAAACATTTTGTTTAAACACCCTGTCATTGCATGTCATTTTTATCTGAATAGTATACCGTTCGATTGGAAATCTAAACAGCCAATCGATGTGAAAGCGATCTATTCATGCATTTTGCGGTTTGATAACACATTCCGAGAGGTTGTCGGTTCGTATTCTAAGTTTGCATTTGGTTGTAATTGTTGTTGAAATCGGTTGAAACTCGTATTCAATTTCACCACTCCATTTTCAACCTTACAAAGCCACAAAATGCAATCTCATATAGTTTACTCAATAAAAACAAGAACAAACGAAAAATAAGTTTTTCCATTGCTTTACTATCATTCCTATACACAAGATCAAATAGTCCAGATACAAAGCAAAACAAAATTGATATACAATAACTGATATAATATATCCACGGGGTGTTTGTACAAATATATACCAAATATCAACGACAACAAATTATTGTGAAGTTAATCACAAATACTGCCGTGAGAGTACAAAACAAAATGGTAAAGAAGTTAAGAAAGGTGTATGTCGAAAGTAGATGCTTAATAAGAATTTGTATACAAGTATTATACAGAGATTAAAAGCATTTTGTTCAAGGATTCATTACATCTTTAAAAACAATATTTTTAGAAGAAAAAAATTGAAGTAAAATTGCTATAGATGTATAAAAATACACATCGGTTAAGTTCATGAAAGAGGCATTTCACAATCCAACTCCATCATTGTCATCCTAATTCGTGTAATCTTTCGTACGCATCTGGGTTTTTTTCTAAATGTATATTGCACATAGGCTAAATATTGATGTTTTGCCATCGATTTCCCTGCTTTAGCACTAGTATTGTAATATAAACAAATATTCTGTTATAAGGAACGATGCCAATATTTTTTATTACACGTATATCTGAGGGGTTTCAATAACGTGAATACACAAATAGTCAATGATGAAACTATTTTACAAATATATACCTTCATTTGCAATTAGTCAGACGGATTTTTACGCTTATATCTCAATTAGGAATAATCATCAAAATATTCAGGCCGTTTTTCTGAATCCTCACCCGAATCTCTGGCTGTCCACCTAGTATGCTCTCATCGGTCAGTTTATTTCGCAATTCCTTCAAAAAGAATTCACTGATGTGTCCCGCCAATGGAGTCCTTGTGACAAAATATTGTCACATGTTTTTAGGATTTCGGTTAACCCTATCTCTCCATCTTGAGTTCAACGAAATTCCCAAGCCCAGATAGAATATTGATGATGAAAATATTCTGGTCTACAAGGCGCTTTAAACATCTCCAATATTTCTGACCACTCCGCTTTAAACATGATTAGCCCATAGAAATCCGATCGAGACTTGCCCGCATATAATGTTTGTACATTCTCCACCCCTTGAAAGTCATCAAGCAACCATTCTACAGATGCGCACAATGCTGATCAAATCACGATGATGTTAGGAGTTCTACCGAGTTTTACTTTGGTGGAAACCAGAAATGTTTGGAACATGCGTTGCTTAAGCGCATAAACGCTTGGGATCGAACCAACGATCTTCATATCTCGAGTCAAGAACCACAACGACAACGACAACGCTACAAAAGTCAATCACCTAAACGGTGCAATCTGACCGCGGAGGATTTTTAAATAGCTCCCTCTTTGCCACAGTTTCGAGTAGTCATCACGATGAAGGGGACTTTCCCTTTCCTGACGTAATTTCTAGAGTTTTTAATTCTTGAACATGTCACAGAGCAATCTCTCCATGGGCGTGTCGCCGATGGTACATCTGAAGAAGAGTCGCTCGACCTGATCTGACGTCACAAAGCGTAACGAAGGGAGGAGTAGTAGCATACGACCAAACCTACCGGAGAAAGATTAAGAGAATGCAAAATTATGAAATATTATTCAATGGTTGATTCTCTCGTTTTTCTTTAGCAAAATATTTTGAACAATTTCTGACAGGGTAAAGAAATAAAATATAGAAGGTCAATAATTCTCTTCGGGGGGGGGGGGCACTACAACAAAATAATGACTGCGTTTTTAAAATATTTTTTTCTAAAATATACTTTATATATTGCATATTACATTTCCTAGGGAAGGAACGCGCCTCTCCCTCTTCCCCGACCCCTTTTTACCGTCTCACTCCTACTGGATCACCAATGAAAGTTGTGCAATAAATATTTTGTCCAGTGCTCGCAGTGCAATTAAGTATTCAAACGAAGGCTTGTCTTAACATCATCCCTGATTTAACAGTGCTGGACAATCACTTCCTAAATCTACAATAGGCTATGTGGTGACTTTCCCAAATGAAAATTGGTCAGAGGCTGCGACCCTTAAACAGAGGAGCGTGGAGTGTTTGAATTGATTTTAATCCATGCAACTTGTTTCATGATTCACGTGTGTACCGGGATTGTTTGAAAATATGTATTTCTTAAAATGTTATCTCTCGCTCTTCGCTCTTATCCATTCACTCTGAGATTCGAACCCTTCCTTACCTTGCAGTCTGGGCTGGCTGGTGTGCCCGTATGTGCTGAGTCAGCATCATGTGGGCCTGATCTTGAAGGATTTCTACCTGCTGCGGGTCCTTTAATCCTCGCGTTTCTGATAGAAAAGACAACGGGAAAACACACGAACACAAAAGTGTCAATATTATATTTCAAAGTAAAATATATCTTGTAACATGGCAGATTTGTAGCTGTACAGGAGTGATGCAAATTGAACAAGGTGGAGCCAGTGGAATGCCCACGTCTTTGCCAATCTTTCTAGAAACTTAAAAATATATAGCGCCATCTTGTGGGTATTTCATGTTACATTCTTTCCTTCTCCCGTTCTATTTCTACATTCAGATATTACTTGGGTTTATGGCGTACTACATTGTATATACCCTCTACAGACACATACAAAAAGGTGGTGTATATACGGTGGGGAGGGGGTGAGGGGGGTCCTACAATCTCCCACCTCCATATAATGGTAAGGGAGAGGGGGAATGTGATAGGGTCATAACAAAAGACGATACGATCACTTTAAATGTTACTCCCAATAAATATTCCTGTTCTCTAAAATTTAATGCAGCCATTAATTAGACCAATCAACCATCCCCTGACTTCTCATAAACCTGCTCACGAATATCTTGTTCACATTATTATTCATAATTATATCGATTTAATTTACCTCACAAACTAAGGATTTAAAACACTTTCGAAGAATCAATCTAAAGCAATAAGCCAGTTCACGGTTGCAGTCTGAGCGTGAGCAGATAAAGGTCATTGCAGAACAAATTTTGAAATACACGGAGACGAAATACTAGATACGTGCTCATGAAAATTATGTAATCGTTATTCATTCATGCACATTCAGTGCATTCCATTATACACAGGTGGAAGTATTCTTTGAAAAGGGAAACAAAGGCTATAGCACCTCCATCGCCGTAGGAGTGATTATTTCAAAATGTACAAAGTGGGACCCAGTGGCGTACCTGGGGTACTCCGTCAGGGGGGGCAAGCGACCGAAACAAACAAAAAAGGCGATGCTAATTTTCACTTCTGGCGAGCGAGCGAGCAAAAAAAAATCTTTAAGTAACGTTTGGTATATAAACTGGTATTGTTGCAAGTTGGGGTGGGAACATTCACTTGTTAGCGACGTTAATTTCATTTTTTTGCAAACGAGCGTAGCGAGCAAGAAAAAAATCACTCCTTTTTTAATAATTGCCACTTAAACTTGGTTCAATTGTCCCATGCAGGGCGCGGGAACAATATTGTGTTTAGGGTGATTTCATACCCATTTTAGCTAGCGAGCCTAAATACATCTTTCTCTCAATGGAATTGCTATATAAAATTTGTTTCATTGTTGCATGTCGGGGCGGGCACAATCTTGTTTTAAGGCAATGTCAATCCCATTTTGGCGGGCAGGCAACCCCCTACATTTCTCTTTTAATGATATTGTAGCAGGTTAGTGGTGGGCACATAATTCCACGAGCTCGCGAGCGTAGCGAGCGAGAGAAAAAAATCACTTCTCGTTTATAGGGAAAATATGGTACATAAAACTTAGGTTCATTGTTCCATGTCAGGGACGTGATTATTAAAAGCGGTGTTATTTCTATTTTGGCGAGCGAGCGTAGCGAGCGAGCAAAAAAAATCACTTCTCTTTTGTAGGGAAAATATGGTACATAAACTTGGGTTCATTGTTCCATGTCAGGGACGTGATTATTAAAAGCGGTGTTATTTCTATTTTGGCGAGCGAGCGAGCAAAAAAAATCACTTCTCTTTTGTAGGGAAAATATGGTACATAAACTTGGGTTCATTGTTCCATGTCAGGGACGTGATTATTAAAAGCGGTGTTATTTCTATTTTGGCGAGCGAGCGTAGCGAGCGAGCAAAAAAAAATCACTTCTCTTTTATAGGGAAAATATGGTACATAAACTTGGGTTCATTGTTCCATGTCAGGGACGTGATTATTAAAAGCGGTGTTATTTCTATTTTGGTAAGCGAGCGTAGCGAGCGAGCAAAAAAATCACTTCTCTTTTATAGGGAAAATATGGTACATAAACTTTGGTTCATTGTTCCATGTCACGGACGTGATTATTAAAAGTGGTGTTATTTCTATTTTGGCGAGCGAGCGTAGCGAGCGAGCAAAATTTTTGTAATGATAATTGGTTCATAAATTTCAGATTTTTTTTGTTGCAGGGCAGGGCTTAAACAATCATGTCTAAGGTGATGTTAATTCCGTTTTGGCGAGCACGAGCACACCAAAACTTCTTTGAATAACGTTTGGTACATAATCATTAACTGGTTGTTGCAGGTTGGGGCGGGCACGTTAGCGGTGTCAATTCCATTTTGGCGAGCGAGCATAGCGAGCAAGCAAAAAAAAATTCTCTTTTAATAGAAATTAATAAATAAACTAGTTTTTATTGGTGCAGGTCAGAATGGACGCAATCGTGTTTAACGCGATTCAATTCCCTTTTGGCGAGAGGGCGTAAAAACTCTTCCGTTTTTAATGATATTGTTGCAGGTCAAGGGTGGGCACAATTGTTTCCAAAGCAATATCTATTCATTTTATTCGCGAGCAAGTGTAGCGAGCGAGAAAAATGAATTACTCTCTTTTAGTAACATTTGGTACATACATTGTGTGTTATTGTTGCCATGGTTGCAGGTCGGGGCCCGTCGGGGCAGGCACAATTGTATTCTAGGCAATGCTAATCCTTTTCTTTTTTCAGGGGGACGAGCAAGTGAAAACATTTAATACAAAATAGGCTAGCAAGCAGTTCGCGCCAGCGAAGAGTTTCGAATTTGTTATATCACTTATATTTTCCTATTTTCATTTGTCTAAATTTTTCAGGGCCGTATAAGGAATATTTTTCTGGTGGGGGAGGGGGAAAGATGCGTTAAAAGTTTTCGGAGAATCTCAAAAGCAAAAGGAGTGAAGGGAGTTCGAGCGACCCAACTGGTCATGAGGGTACTTTTGCATTTTCAAAAGTAGAATTGAAGGATTTGGTATAGGCCTACACTACATTTTCAGGAAAAAAACTGTACGTTTTCAAAATATCTGGGGTCAACTGCTCCCCCCCCCCCTGGTGCGTACGGCCATGGTCTTTTTTTTTTAATTTCCCCATTTTTTTCCTTTCCTTTTCTTTTCCCTTTTTCTTCCTTTTCTCTTCTTCTTCCTTTTTTCTTTCCTTTTCCTTTTTTTCCTTTTTTCTCTTTCTTTCCTTTTTTTCTTCCCTTTTCTTTTTTTCTTTTTCTTTCCTTTCCTTTTTTTCTTTTCTTTCCCCTTTTTCTTTTTTTCCCCTGGAGCCCGTCAGGGGGGGCACTCTGCCCCCCCTGCCCCCCCCGTAGGTACGCCAGTGGTGGGACCTCTTCATGTTTTGAATGCACGCGACAATATCAACTCAATCTGAATGAGCAAATACGTGTGTTACACTTTATACCCAACGTAAAGGTAAATTCCAAAAGTACCTGAGGACAACTTTCTAGATTTATGTGTTGTTTGGTTGTTAGTGTACGTTGCCCTAATTAATTTATTATTGATTTGGGGGGGGGGGGGAGAATGGTCCCCCTCGCCTTTTTTACTAGACAATATCAACAGAATTCTGTATCGTCCTACCTGGTTTGAAGAGAACAATCGCCTTGAGGCAGGCGAACTCGGCGGGGTCGACCCGTAGCCCCCGAAAGCGAGACATGATCTCCTGAAGGAGGCGTATATCAGAGACACAGGTCGCTGCCTTGTCCGTCTGGGATTGCTCGTGTAGGCCGGTGAGTAGCGGGCAGGAATCCAGCGGCATGGACCATTGCAGAGCGCACAGTAAGAATAGCTCGCTCCACGCTTCCTCCAGCAAAATGACCTGTACGATGATAGAAAAGCAAGATTTTAGAAGAACTTGATTAATGTTAAAGACCGTCACCACTACTGGGCAAGAAGGGATTAGACCACACAGCGAGCCATCGAGGTCACTGTGACAGGTGGCTATCTCATTAAGTCAGCTGTTATTTAACATAAGAAAAAGAGGATCATGGGGGACTAACAGGCACCGATTGGGGAAGTTTTCTATATAGAGGGAGCAAGTAGCTACAAGTATGGCAGTGTGCCTTTAAGATTAAACTGAAAGTTCATGACCGTTTCATAATGCAAGTTTTCAATTTTCATTGGTAATAAATCACATAACCTAAACACAGTGGCCCGTATTCGAAAGTCAGGTTTAGTTAAATCCATGTTTAACTTTAAACCCGGGTTTAACTAAACCAGGCTTCATGTTTAAGTTCAATTTCAGTTTCTGAAAGCCAGGTTTAAGTGTAGTCTAAATGTAAACCTAGGTTTAAAGTTAATCCTGACTTCAGAATATGGGCCAGTGGGTTTACCTCTACACAAGATATCACATAATCCTGAACCTAATTCGTACCTGATCTCTGAAGGGCAGACCCGAGAAGGAAGGCAGTGTCTTCGCCCATTTGACGGCCATGAAAAGAAGCCGAGCCGACGACTCGTAGATGCTATCATTGCTGGAGGGGTAGACGGCGATCTCCTTAGGCGTGGACGCCAGCTCCGATCCGCTCAAGATCATTCCCGGTCGTCGCTGGTGATGGTGGTCGCTACGGAGGTCGACCCGGGGATCCGTGTCGCCGGTCACGTCGATCTCGCATGTATCGTGAAGTGCTATATGATAACATGAATATAAAAAAAATGATCGATACACTGTCGATATGACTATGCGTTGCAATTAAACACAACAAATCCCTTAAATTTTCGAAATTGTCATATGCCAGGCATTATGTGTCATAAAGCGTAATATTCTAAGTGGCGAATTCAACAAGGGAAATGGGAGGGTTAAAGGTTTGGGGAGGCGTGCTATCCTTGGCAAAATGCTGTATGGCGTACCTCAATGACATAGTACATAATCAAAATATGCCTGAATTTGGCCCGTCCGGCTACAGCTTTAGACCGACAACGGCACCTGCAAAACTTGTTAACAATTCTTGTTTGCTTATTGCTTATTACACAATTTGTGTGTACCCTGCCAAACATGAAAAGTGTGATAAATTAGCCGATTTGTGCCCCCTCTGCCTGCCAGACAATCTAGGATCCCAAGCTGGTAAAAAAATCTGATGTACCTCGTTGAATATATAGCCGACAAGTGGACCCATGTATTTGATCTTATTGTTCACGTTAGTCGACCAGTCGATTAAAGGGATTTTGAGAGAGATATACAACCCGAATGAAAACCAGTTTACACTGCTTCGGGCTACTCTTTTGAAATATGTCAAAAATCCAAAGACTGAAGTATTGAAATGAACGTAGTATAATCTTGATAAGGCGTAACAAAAAAATATGTTGTATTACCCTTTGCGACCGACCCGAAAATCTTGAAATCTACCGTCGGCTTTAAAAAAATGTTTAAAGAATTTAGAACTGAGAAATATCAGCTCAAAGAGGGAGGGGAGAAAAAAAAGTTAACCGAAAGGAAAAAAAATCCCATGTTTTGCTACTTAAAGGGCAAAAAACATCTTCTTTTTTTTAGGCCTGATAAGAAAGAATCATACCATCTTCTGGCTCCAATTTGGCGCAGGTTTCTGCCGTCATCAGACCAGCCATGAACCGGTGATTGGCCGTGAACGCGAAGGCAGCAGCGTGTGCCGACGCCGATGACATCGGGCCACCGTACGATGACGACGGTGATGTCGATGACGATGTGGAGGTGGAATGCGAGGACGGGTTCGGGTCCCTGGTCAGCGGGCTGGCGGCAAGTTCATGGGGTTCGGCTGTCGTCACGGAGGGGACGCTGTCAAGGCGAACGTGGGCCATGTTGCGGGGTTGTCGCTCGTTCTGTACAGCTGGACCAACAACAAAAAATAATAATAATAAAAATAAATATTAATCATGCATTGATTAGTTATATACATTCGACCTCTTTTCCCGTTGATAAAAAGCGTCTCAGAATAGAAAATGAGATAGGTACATAATTAATGTTGCTACTTTATATAATATTCTTTTTTTATTACACGGCGAATAATAATGCATTGAAGCCGACAATTTATTAATAACAGTGATCAGACATTATCCCACGCGAAAATTGCTGCGGGCTTTATTTAATCAAATATATAGGGTGAGATTTAGCGTTTGATCCACTGTTGAAATTAGAAATTCGGTTAATAGTATTAATGTCATTTACCCAGGGAAACCTCATCAGCACCAGTGCTGCTCACCATGAGGGACCTGCAATTATCATTACCCCGGCAATTACCAGGTAGGCCTACCCATATATACCTGGGTGGAGAGAGGCAAATGTGGATTAATGTCTTGCCAAAGCATGTTAGTATTGGGCCGGGATTCGAACCGTCACCCCTTGGATTGAGAGTCAAGTGAATGAACTACTAAACCACGACGCCTCCACTTGACGTAGAAAGTGTACCACGAATGAACCACAGGAGCATAGGTTCTACGGCCCCGTAGCATAAAACTTACCGTTGATGGTAACTTTACCATCAATGCTAACTACCATGGTAACATGGCTCAACAGCCAATCAAAATCAAGGCCCATGGTAGTTACCATTGATGACAAAGATACCATCAATGGTAATTTTTGTGCAATGGGGCCCAGGTACGAGTTCAGGGACACTGGTGCGTAAAATAATGTTTCATATGTTATCAATTATGACAATCATAAATAATTTAGTTATAAAACGTATATGAAGAAATGAGAATAACTATAAAATGGTGATGAGTATTAAAACAAGGTATACGGTAGGTACTTTTTCTCTCGCCCCAATAACCTACCCCTTAAGGGCAAATTCAAAATGTTGTAAAGAGGGGGGGGGCACCCAATCCCAAAATACTCCATGATAAAGCAGAACAACAGACTTTCACATGTACAGATAGACGATCGCAAAGACTTTCGAGAAATATAATCAAGGGCAAGTTCAAAAAATCCTATTGAATACCAGTATCACATACAAACCATGTTCGTCTTATAGGCCATTGACATTTGACGTATTATTTGTTGCAGCAGAGAAACAAAATGTGCCAATGTAATATATTACTGTATCTCTCTAACGTTATAGTTATATAGCTAGGTTGCCTTTTCTCTCCCCCCCCCCCTCTCTCTCTCTATTTGTCTTTATCTCTCTCTTGTTCCTCTTCTGTCCCTCTCTTTCATTAAAAAACAAAAACAATCACATTTTGTCGCTGATAAAAAGGTGTTGATATACGGCATAATCCGGCTATGTCTACAAAATTTATTAATATTTATATTTTCGAAACATGAATGAAAAACGTTTTTTCCGTCAGAGACTAAGACACTCGGGCTTTTGGAAGTATATATCTATACATTATTTTGATTCATTAATATGGTAATTGAATCCACAATTTTTGGGCCATTAAGATAAATTGCCCCCAGCTGTCAATGCAACTTAATATTTCACACCACAGACGAAAGGGAAGGACAGGGCTCAGATTTATTATCAACGAATGGTTGAGTCTACAGCGAGCTTCAATTAGAATTAAACAGCCCTAAAATTCATCTGTTGCAGCCAGGAAACAAAAAAGGAAGGATAAGTTTGATATACACTTTTGTATGCAGCAAGAGCTAGCAATCAAAAGCCAATAAAAGGCAGCCAAATCCATGTTGACTGTATTACTTTGATAGGCAAAGATGACATGCATTATTCATGTTTTTGCAACTCCCTGATTTTATTGTTTTTCGTTTTGATATATTGAGATGGGGGCTTAATGGAAGCCCATTCCGAACGCTAAAACGCAAGTAATCTATGCACATGCCGTAAGCACTCATATTACTATACGAATACAAGAAAGGCAGGCGTAAAAATGTCTAATAACATAACAAAGGCAGGCATGAAACAAATTTAAGATTATTGGCTAAACGTAAATTTCATCTTTACATCGCGCCTTCAATTTTCATTGCTTCGGGACGAGATTGAAGTGAGTAATAAATTCGAAAAGTAAAAAAAAAATCAAAAAAATCGAGAATTCATCAGAGGAAAAATCCTTTTCGAGAAAGTTAATGAAATCTTTTGTACGACATAATCTTTTTTCATGTAAAATTCAGTACCAATTTTCCATTATCCAAATTCTGCACATTTCTTAATCCTGCACAGAACATACGGAGAACATTAAAGATATTTTCTAACATTATCTTTTGAAAGCAAAATGTTTCGAAATTAATCACTTCCGTAACTTTTTTTCTCTCTCTCTCTCTACATTTCTTGTTTTTCTACCTACCTGTTCTCTATATATCCTTTACCTTGCTTACGTTTTCCCCCATTACTGATATACAATCTCCTTTTCTTTGTAGGAATTTAACTGAAATCCTTCAAACTTTTCTACTTCATTCTTTGTTCATTTTTTGAAAAATATAATATCGCATAGTTTTGGGTATTCCAAATCCTACTCGATCCCTTGGATCGCTGTTTCTTTTCGCCTCAAGGGCCACATACATCTTTCTTTATCATTGCATCGCCTCTTCAACCAGCGTTAATACACATTTTACGAGATCAAAACTGGATGAGACCAGATATTCACGAGATTAAATGTTCGCAATACTTATTCTTCTCGCGTATGTCGAGAACAAAAACTTTTACATTTCTAATGTACTGTGAAGCAGCCACTCTCTAATGGTCTCATCCACTTCCATTAGCCAAAGGGTTTGGTCGTTTAAAGGTAAAGACCGGTTATGGTCATGCGATTGCATTGTGAAAGAAACGTTGTGGAATCGATCAGAAAAGGTTGATCATCTAGCATCTAGCATCTACAAGGTTCTGGAATCATCAAAATGATAAGAAATTTGGCCCATTCTTCGTAAAGTTACAAGCACTATACACAGAAAGATGCATATGGGACTACCCTATATCTCTCACAGACCATGAGAGAAACAAATTTACCAAATATATGAGTTAGTAGGCGGTTTCCCGGCAAATTTTGTATCATCATGTATTAGTCAAAACATATTCTTTCACATGATTGGTAATGAGAGCTTCCATTTCATTTTTTAAAATTGGGGCGTTTCCAATACTGGTCTTTATCTTTAAACAGGGGGCAGGTTGTGATGATGTGGTCTGCTGTTTGCTCCTCTGCACCACACTCACAAGCTGGACTTTGTGGCCAAGTCCCATCTAAACCTGTTGGCCTTGAAACGGCCACACCACTCCGGAGACGATTAAGCTTTGTCCAAGCCTGCCTTTAACAGCGTGTCCACACACAAAACAATTTATCCCGATTCTCTATAACGAAACGTCGTATAAAGAATCATCGTATAAATTTCAGGGTGTCCACACACAAGAAACGTCGTATAAATAATCATCGCATAAATTTCAGGATGTCCACACACAGAAGAAAGTAATCCTGAAACTCTACAGCGAAGTGTCGTATAGGTGCGCAGTTTGCTACTGCGATCTTGAAATGGAAGCGGAAATGAGTCTCCTTTCGCTCAAGGTCACGTTAAGCCCCGCCCAGTTATACCGTTCTAGTTAGACAAGTTATACTAGTTACGTCCACACACAACATATTCCGTGATTAGGCGTGATTAGGCGGGGTAATTTATACGTCGTATAATGAAACGCATGTTTGGGCATCGTTTCGTTATACGACGTTTCGTTATACGACGTTTAGTTAGTAAGCGTCCACACACACAATTTCATCGTATAACTATCGCGAAACAGTATAGCTATCCCGAAACTGTATAACTAATCACGCCTAATCATGGAAAATGTTGTGTGTGGACACGGGGTAAGTCACAGTCTGAACTAGTATTCGTTGGGTTTTGGATGAAGCGCTACAGTAAGGATGACGATTTTTGTGACTGGTCTGTCCATGTTTTTCCTCTCCAATCTGTTGTGGTCTGATTTGGATGGATGGTATTCATCAGGTCGCAATACTAAAGCTACATGAGACGGACGATACACGAGATCGATGATACAAAGGACCGAAGATACACGGGACCAAGAAAAACACGAGACACAAAATACACGAGATCGAGGTACACGAGACCGAAGATGTACGAGGCCGGATATACACAGGACCATTAAAAACCAGATACACGAGACCGAAAATGCACGAGACCGAAGATACACGAGACCGAAGATACACGAGACCGAATATGCACGAGACCGAATATACACGAGATCGAAGATACACGAGACCGAATATACACGAGACCGGAGATACACGAGACCGAAGATACACGATACCGATAATACACGAGACCGAAGAAACACGAGACCAAAGATACACGAGACCGAAGATCGAGAAAACGCGAGAACGAATATGCACGAGACCGAAGATACGCGAGAACGAAGATAAGCTAGATTATCCGTTCGAAGTTTGGCTTGGTCTTGCGTGCTTTTGAACTAGTCGTCAAAAAGAAAATGATACCGCAAGGTCTGGTACCATGGGTCTGTAATATGCATTGTATACTGTAAATCTGGCTGACTCTCAATTGGGCTATACTAATAATAAAGTTTTTTTAAAATCTCCATTTTCTTCATTTAATATTATATTTTCCATAATTATTTACTATTCGTCACACTGCCTCTGTTGCCGTCTTTTAAATAGCTCTTTGTTTTTGTAATGTCTGTCTGTCCGTCTCCCCTCTCTCTCTCCCTCTCTCTTTAAAAATACATATCTATCTATGTCTGTCTGTCTGTCTGTCTCTATCATTCTGCTTTTCTCTCAATTTCCTAATCTCTCTCGTCTTCGCTTACAGATCCGTCATAATTTATATCCCTCTACCTCAACTAATATCGTAAAGTCAGAGAAACTTTTAAAAACGTTTTGATACTTTTCCCCGACTTCCCGCATGTATATTAACTACTTGATATAT